CTCCATGTCACATTTCTCTTCACTCGCAAATAAATTGGTTTGTTTTTGGGTTAAAATGTATAGATGGATGCAAAGTTACCGATGGAAACATTTGAAACGGTGTTTGCGCTAGCTTCTGAGGGTTGCAAGGCAATTGCAGAGAGAATACGCGAGGTAACAAAATGAATTATGAGTCTTTGTAGCTTTTCTTTTTCCACCATTGGAGGGCATTGTTTGTTTTCTAAATCTTTGGTTCTTCTGCTTTTGAAGGTACTTGAAGAAAACACCAAACAGCTAGAGTATCGTCGAGCTGCATAATCTTTTGGGGATAGAGAAAAACAAAAATGTCCAAGATTTTAGTCTACGAGTTCGTTAAATTTTGCTGCGGATTTTGGAAGTTGAAAACGAAAACAATGCATTAACTCAATATATATATTGCTTCAGAAACTTCTTTGATTAACTAGATGATGTGAAAAGGGTCGACTTAATCATAAGAGAAAATCTGGCACCAAATTGCTTATATGAGAAAATAAAAATTCTCGAGCATGTACGTATGCATATGCATTTTTTGCAAAACAATACGCACATGAATTATTATAATTAGAACAAAATTAAAGAAAAAAAAAAATCAATAAATTTGGTTCCACCGAGTTTCAGTTGTATTTGAAAATTTGGTTATTGGTTTGAAAATTTTAAATTCCATTTGTTATTGAAAAAGTTTGGTTTTTAATAAATTCTAGTGTTATTGGGACATACATTTTTATAAATTTTAATCATTAAACACAATTTTCACATATACATGAGATTTTGACCGTCCTTAAAAAACAATTTTTTGATAGAATACACAAAACTTTTTTCAAATTTAACAATGAATTTCGTTAAATTTTGCTGTTGATTTTGGAAGTTGGGTATCTCAAACTCATACTAGTAATGCAAAGTTAGATCTTCTTTCTGTGGTTGGTTAATGTGGTTTCTTTTTTTTTAACTTCAAAATGCCAAAAAGTCGAAACCGAAATCCTAACTAAACCATAAATAATCAAACCGGAATTGAATGTCAGAGTTGAACCGAGAGCTAAATCAATCTACACCTTTAGAGGCTCTCCGGGTTCTTTGAAGTATGAGGCATTTTGGAGTCATTCCCCAATCCTATCACTATGGAGCGGTTGTAGATACTTTTGCTCGGATCAGAAGTGCAGACCATATCCGTTGGACTGTTGACATCATCAAGGCTCGTGATGAAGCCGGTTTCAACTCGGTTTTGAGTCGTTGCAAAAATTCTTATGAATTTTTGCAGAAATGCCTCGGATCTTGTATCTGATTACGACAATGTGTTCGTTTGGCTCCGATGGTCACCACCGCGAATCTGGGATGAAAAATTCTTTTAAATAGTATAATAAAATCTTTGGGAATTAGTGGCTAGAAATACAACAAAAAAAAAATTATAATATACAAACTAACCAAAA